ATTTATGTTTTTTGCTTGTTTCCCTTCCTTTCCTAATTTCTTAATTTCCTCTTTTCTCTTTTCTCGTTTCTTCTCCTCTCGTTTACCCTTCTCTTTTTTTGCTTCTTTACTTCCTTATTGTCTGTACTATTAATATGACCTCGTTTCTTTCTTCATTTACGTATCTTGCTCCCTATTTCTTGTGTTATCTTTATCTATTTCTATTCTGTATTTCTTTGTTGCCTCGTCGTCATCTCTTCCTCTGTCTGCTCTTTTCTTCTTGCATCCTGCTGCTTCTTAGTGACCTTATCCTTCTTTCTTTTGTCTTTTTTTCTTGTTGTTTTCCCCTCATCTGTTTTCTCCTTTGTCATTTCTTAGGTTTTGTTCTCTTTTTTTCATCTTTATTCTCCAGCTTTGCTCTTTAAATCTCCTTCTAATTTGCTGTCTTTCTTTGATCTATATATCTTTTTCTTGCTTTTCTCTCACTGTCTCGCTTTTGCTGTTTACTGCTTTCTCTCTTCTATTGTATTTTTCCTTCTCTTTCCTGTCCGTCTTTTACCTTTATATCTTTCGTTCTTCTTCTTTTGTTTTTTTTACATCTCACTTCCCTTGCCTTTTTTCCTTGTTATCGCTCCCTTTTGGTCTATGTTCTCTTTTCTCTTTTTTCTCTGCTGCTTTCCTGTCTTCTCCTGCTCTTCTCTTCACTTTCCTGCTCCCTTTTCTTATCTGTTCTCTCATATTTTTCTAATTTTCTCGTATTCTATTTGCTGCGTCTTTTTCTCTTCTTGTTGTTTCTTCTTGTTTACTATTTCCATTTGATCTTACTTTCCTTTATGTTTCCTCTTTCTTTTCTCTTTCCTTCTGTTTCCATTATTCTCCTCATCGCTCTCTTTCTCTTCCGTGCTTGCTCATTTTTATCTTGCTTCTTTTATCTCCCTTTCTCCTTACTTTCCTTTCTTGCTTCTCTTAGCTTCTCTTTCTTCTTTCTTGTCTTTTCCTGTTCTTTTCTCTCTTGTCTCTCTCTTTATCCTTTTTTCTTTACTGTTCATTTTTCTTTTTGTTATCTTTCGCTGTTCTTTAAATTTTCGTTCGCTGTTTCGTTCACCTTATTATATTCTTTTATCTTTCCTTCTTGCCTTTTCCGCTTATCTTGCTTTTCTCTCTTTCTCTCTATCTCTTCTATCCTGCTTTTTTTACATTTTCTTATTTTCGTTCTCTTTTTTTCTCCTTTTCTTTATTGCTTCTTTACTCCTCTTTTTTATTGCTTATTCCTTGTTCTCTCTTGTTGTTGATTCATTCTTGTTCTTTCTCATTCTTTCTATTTCCTTACTTTTCTCTTCCTTCTTATTTTTCTTTCTTAATTATCCCTTCTATTTTTCTCTTTCTTTATTCTTTTCCTGCTTTTTCTCTCTTTTGTTTCTTCTTGTTGTTTTTACTTCTTTTTCCTTATTCTGTTGTCTTGCTTTATTTGATATCGTATCCTCCTTATTATCTTTTGTTCTTACTTATCTCTTTTCCCTTTTGTTTTCGTTGTTCCTTATTTATTATTTTCTCTTCCTTTTTCTTATTTCTTATTTTCTATTTTCCCTCTCTTCTGCTTTTTTGCCTCGTTTTCTTCTTTCTTCTCTCTTTTCTCTCTTTTCTCTTCTTTCCCTATTTCTTATCTTTTTTTCTCTCGGTTGTGCTCTTATCTTGTCTCTTTTTTTCCCTTTTGTGACTGTTTCTTGTTTTCCTATTTTCTTTGTCTTCTCCTTCTTGTTGTCTTTGTTTCTCTTTTTCTTTTGTTTTCGTGTTGTTCCTTCTTTCTTTCTTGTTTTCTTATCTGTTCTGTAGGCTATTTTCTTGTTGTTTTTTATTTTTTTCTTCCTGTCTTTTTTTTGTCTCTGGTGTTGCTTCTTTTTCTTGCTGTTTGCTACTTTCCTGTTTCCTTTTTGTTTTACTTTCTTTTCCTAGTCGATTTCTTCATTTTGTTCATTTTTGCTTTTTTCTTATTCATTCTTTTCTATTAATCCTTTCTACCTTATCTTTCTGATCTTCTCTTTCTTCTCTTATCGTCACTTTTTCTCGCTTTTGTCTTTTGTCTTTCTTTCGTCTTATGTCTGCTTTGTGTGTATCTTTTCGTTGTTTCTTTCTACCTTCTTTTTATTACTTATTCATTGTTCTTTATGGTTCTCTTATTTATTTCTTATCGTTTCCTTTTCTCTCATTTCTTGTTCTCTCTCTTTTTTATCTTGTGTCTCTGGTGCTTTCTTTCTCTTCATTTTCTCTCTTCTTTCTTCTCTTGTTTTGTCTCTTTCTCGTCTCTTCCTTTGCTTTTCTTATTTCTCCTTTTTGTTGTTTATTCCTCTTTTCGTTTCTTACTTGCTATGTTTCTTCCTTTCTTTATTCTTCTCCCTATTTTCTATTTTCTTTTTTCCTTTCGTTATTTCGTCTACTTATTGTCTTTGCTTTGTCTTTGCCTTTCTCTCTCGTTTCTTCCTGTTGTTCTCTTGTCCGACTTTCTTGCTCCTTCATTGCTTACTGTCCTTTTATTTCTCTTCCCTTATTCTTTTTGACTTTTTCTTGCTTTCGTCTTTTGTTTTTCTTGTTCCTCTTTTGGGTTTTCTCTATTGATTGTTTCTTCCCTTTTTTTTTGCTTTGCTATTCCTTTTTGCTCTTGTCTTTTCTTTTTCTTGTTTTTCATTTTGTTTTTTCTCTTGTAGATTCTTTTTGCTTTTCTTCCTCTCATCTTTTTCTACTGTCCCTTCTTCCCTTGCTTTTCATTTCACTTTGTTCTTTTTTCTCTTTTTGTGTTTCCTTCCTCTTTTCCTGATATCTTTTTATTTCTTTTAATTCTTTCTCTTCCTTTCCTTTCTTTTATTGTTTCTGTATTTGCTCTTCTTTCATCGCATACTTTCTTCTCCTTTATTCATTATTTACTTTCTTTTCTCTCTCTCATTTTCTCCATCTTTTTTTCCTCTTCCTTATTGTTTTTCTCTCGTTCCCTTCTCTTTTTCTATTTTTGTTACGTCTTTCTTTATCCCTTCTGTTTTGTTTCTTCTTCTTTTCTTTCTTTTCCATTTCATTTTAGCTTTTCTCTTCTTCCCATCTATCTCGTTTTTTTCTTTCTGTCTATTCGCTCCTTCATGTTGCCTCGATCCTTCATTCCTGATC